TAGATAAATGGAGAGAGAGAGAGAGAGAGAGAGAGAGAGAAAGAGAGAGAGAGAGAGACCGAGACAGACAGAGTTTATGTGTGTGTGTGTGTGTGTGTGTGCGCGCGCGTGCGTTTGTATGTGGATGCATGTGCGAACTAGTGTATTTGTGTATGAGCTACTGTGTGTGTGTGTTTGTGTGTTTGTATATATGCGCGCGCGTGCGTGTTACCGTATGTTTGCATGTACGTAACATATGGTGTTATCAAGACTGAGCGCATATTGCGTAAGTGGAGCCCTCGAGGTCTGCTCACTCTTGCTCGTCTTGGGGAGACGTTCTGGATGAAAGCCATGCCCTTTTTATTCCCTCTCTTCTTCTTTTTTCCCCCTTTCTACGCCGATCAATTTTCTTGTCGAAGACGAATTTCCAAGACGGAATTGGGGTAGTGGCTTGGCCGCGATAAATTCAGTAGCTGGCTCCTTCATTGATCTGTGCAGTGAAAGAACATCTGTCGAATTGCAGGCTGTGAGCGTCTGTGAGCAATTGGTTAGATCTGGTATATGTGTGTGTGTGTGTGCGCGCATTTGTTTGTGTTTGTGTGTTGTATGTGTTTGTGTGTGTTGTGTGTGTTTGTGTTTGTGTGTCAGCATGTGTGTGTGTGTCTATGTGTGTGTGTGTGTGTGTGTGTGTGTGAGAGAGAGAGAGAGAGAGAGAGAGAGAGAGAGAGAGAGAGAGAGTTTGAGTGTGAGCGTGAGTGTGTATGTGTGTGTATGCATGTATGTGTGTGTGTTTGGAAATATTGAATCTGCCGTTGGCGTTGGCTAGAACAAAAAAGGCGTTTAAACACGAAGACTGCACCAAGTGTACGTGGAGATCTGAAGTAAATAAGGGAAGTAGACAAGAGATGATAACATTCCACGATACTCTTATCGGTCCAACTGAAAGATTCCAAAGGAAGATTAGAAAAGAGCAGATGCGTGCAGAAATTAATGACACATTTTAAAAGCAAAAAGAGCTGACTGAGGAAATAACGTGAATATTGGAAATGGCGAATAAAATAGACAAAATTGCATAGGTTTAACGCCTTTGGCAGCACTGTAAGGTTATTTAAAAGGCGGGGCATCCAAATTTAACGTCCATTTTTTATAACACCGAGCCAAATGGGAAAATATGTGTATAGCACTTCCTAAGGACACAATTACATCGGATAGTGCTGAGCTTCGAACCCAAGAACCTGCAATCTCACGAAGAATGTATCCTCTAAACTACCGGACTCGGAATTTTAAGAGCACAAGTCTGGTCGCCTAACCTCTAAATTATTGGTCTCGCAATCTCACGATTACGAGGCCAGTAGCCTAACGACTAAATAACTGGCACTGCCATGGAAAATAAAGGACTTGTACAGTAATGGAAGATAATAATAATATTATGTAGGGAGAAAATGAAATGACCGTCAGGACAGATCCCCTCGTTTTCCCAGAGGCAATATAGATCCCCTCTCCGCACTCTTGCATATCGATCTGTTATTGTGATGGTCGAAGGCTGCTGTAAAAATTGCGCGCTTCCACGATGGTCGGCACAGCCGCCGAGATATTAAGATAACGCAGCCCTGCTTCGTCTGATGACCATTTCCGGTCGTCTATTGGTCAAAACGGCGTCAGGAATCATTTCTGATATAGAGGAAAATATTAAATGTTAATGACAAGTTCTCGGTACGAAATTGAGTGGGGGGGGGGGAGAGGGAGAGAGAGAGAGAGAGAGAGAGAGAGAGAGAGAGAGAGAGAGAGAGAGAGAGAGTGAGTGAGTGAGTGAGTGAGTGAGTGAGTGAGTGAGTGAGTGAGTGAGTGAGTGAGAGAGAGGACGAGAGAGAGAGAGAGAGAGAGAGAGAGAGAGAGAGAGAGAGAGAGAGAGAGAATGAAAACAGAGACGGAGAAAATGAGAGATAGAAGGAGCAAATGAATGAGAGGGATGTGAGCGGGGTAGGAGGGAGACGTGAGAGAGAGAGCCTCTCACTTTACTTTTTTTTCATCCCTAAAATGATCCTCAGAAGTATCATCATCGTGTGCCTATCAAATGTATCGGTGCTTTCTTGCACAACGTACACCACTTATTAGTCCTTTTTTTTTTACAGCTATAGGAAGTTGAGGCTTTCTGTTGTTTCTGTTTTTCCTCAGCTCTTTCACAACTTTAAAATTCTCATGATTTCTTGTGTCTCTTTCTTCCTCGGATCTTTTGCAACTATAACTTTCTTTTTTCTGTGTATTCCTCAGCTCTTTCACAACTATCAGATTCTCATGATTTCGTTTGTTTCTTGTTTTCCTCAACTCTTTCACAAGTAGATATCTATAAAAGATTCTCACGTTTTCTGTTGTTTCTGTCTTCCCCAGCCTGGAAAGCAGAGACAACCCGTTTCTGCCCGGAGGCGACTTATCCCGCGAGGCCGAGGACCTGCTGTCCCGCGCCACCATCATCCGCGACAACTTCTACCTCAACGAGGAGGAGAAGCGAACACTACAGCTGCAACAGCAGCAAGAACAGCTGCTGCAGCAGCAACAGCAACAGCAGCAGCAACACCAGCAGAGCGAGCAGCCACAGAAACAAGCCAGGGGAGGCAAGCACGTCCAGATCGTGGACCACCTGGACGGCGCTGACCATGGCAACAACCACAACAACTCTACTTCCGAGCATGCGCAGACGAACAACAACTCCTTGTTGCCCGGCGACGTGGAGGAAAGAATCTCGCCTCAGACGGCAGGAGCCACCGCCGCCTCCCCCTCCCCACACGCTGACGGAGACACGCCCAGGGAGAACGGCAAGGTCGGTGACCCCTCGGCGCCGGTGTCCGCGGACGGTGTCAAAGTTTCTATTCCAGCAGACGGGGAGGGGCAGTCCAAGCCTGGAGGAGGGGGCGCGCCGGACTCCCAGGGGAACAACGGGCCGGCCACCGGAGACTTGCAAGTTCAGGACGCCGAGAAAAAACGACGGAACAAATGCTGCACGATCATGTAGGGCTGGGGCTGGGGCTGGGCTGCCCATCGGCTCTTCGTGTGTCGCTCTTGGCCTGTCGTACACGGGAACTGAGCTCGTGACGCGCCTGCCCTAAGGGGTGAGCATCGCCCACCGCTCACAAGTCGGCATTGGATAACTGGTTTGAGAGGATCTTAATGGTTCCACGAGTTTTGGATGAACTGGTTTGACGAGATCTTTTATGGTTCCACTAGCTTTGGATAACTGGTTTGAGGGGATCGTAATGGTTCCACTAGCATTGGATAACTGGTTTGAGGGGATCTTTATCGTCCTACTAGCTTTGAATAGCTGATCGGTATTGGATAACCGGTTTGAGAGGATTTTTGTGGTTCCACTAGCTTTGGATAACTGGTTTGAGATGTGGATCCAAATGATTTCTCTGCGTTGCTGGTTTTTGGGGAAAGCAATGAATATTAATGTGATGCACCTGGGGGTTTTGTTCCGGAATCGCCCTTGGATAATGATATAATGTGTGTGTGGATACTTGGTGCTTCTGTAATGAATTCTTCCCCTCGATGTTGTAGCAGAATGTTCTCGTCCATCGTGACGAAGAATTCTGTCTTGTTGGATGTATGAATGTGACCCGTGTACGTAATGAGATAGGACAGAATTCCCAGTCGGAATAAGTAGAATTTTCCGAATAATGTAAGCAGGAGTAGCCGTGGAATAATGCTGGATTGTGTTCGTCACCAATAGTTTGTGACATCTGCCGTGTAGTGACCTCAATGTCTCTCCTTGACTGTCTCACTTACGGTGCATTTACTCCACAAAACGATTTGGGGACGGACTGTTTTCACCATATGGATACAGGGAGATTATAAGGAAATAAACGACTCGGTCTTCGTTCTGTGTGGAGTGAGGGTGTGGTCTGTGCCAGCAATCCCAGCGGAGAGTCAGGTCGAAATGCTGCAACAACAGAGCGTTTGTGAAGGGAAGAGAGCACACATGCTACGATGTTAAACCGGCATACCATGTAGGTGACACAAACCATCGTGAAAACAACAATACTGCTACAGAACGTAGAATGGCTGGACTGTCACTTGGCTCTTGGCAATATTCCCACGTTGAGCCTAATGTCCCAATAAACATATTGGAAGGGATACAGAGAGGCTCTGTAAGATATACTGCCGATGAGTAACCCACTTATCCCTGACTTCTAAGAGCGTCACTTCTTTGTGAATTGGAGTTTTGGATGTGTCTGTTACTCACAGACTCAAGTCACCACGTTTCTTAGCCTGTTGAGAGCAATGGCGATGTACTGGAGACAGATCGTTTGTTGAGTGTCAACATGTGCAGACCGACCTATATCTCTCTCCATGTTCACTGCCATGAAAGTGACCTTTAAAGATTACAAAAAGCATACAAAGAATCCAACTATGTCCAATGTCATTTGTGAGCGGTGGAGCCAAACAAGATGTGTTCGAAGAGGAATAAATAACTCGACCGAAATTCTCCGGTCTTTCAAAGGGTTTGCGTTTGACTATGCTTTCATCCAGTGTTCCTCTCGTTTGTTTCCATTTGATCATCTCGCTGTACAGATTTTCCAATAATTACATTTCAGCATGATCATCCTCGGCTTCTCATTTCCAGATCTTTTACTTACGACATGCCTTGTCCCTGGCCTTTCCCATAGAGTCGGACGTGTGACGTGTAGTCAAATCGGACGCAGGACGTACTGTCACGTCGGAGCATGATGTATTGTCAAATCCGGCGTTGAGGTATCGTCAGATCTGACGTCTGACGTACCGTCAAATCGGACGTATTATCCAGTGTGGTGTATAGTCCAGACGTTTACCCAGACTGTTTGCAAGCCATTTCACCGTGATCAATGAATCAGTCGATGTTCATGATTCCAAGAATAATATAGTCGTCGACTACGGTCCTATTATTTCTCGTGTACTGCTGTTTCGTTCTGTTACTCTGCATAGCACGACGTTCTGACACGTTCAGGAGCAACCCCCCCGCCCCTAAAAATAAAAAAAATTGCCTCTCTCAGATGGAAGACAGTTGTCGTTACCACCAGCAGTACCTATGTTGATTTACGACTGTTTCAAATCCTCTAAATTTTCTCCATAACTCACATTTTTTAAAGTCTCAGAAGTCATCGCACCATGCTGAAAGTTCATGACCTCATTAGACAACGTCACTTCCGCTAGTGCAGCTTACATACATCGTTTGTTTCTCTCGTACAATTCGCCTTTCAGCGTCATTTCAGAGTCACGTGTTTCTTTCCACGACACAGCTGCAGACGAGAATATATTTATTTCACTTGAAAAGTGAAGTTGGAGCAAAGAGTGACCAGGATTTTCTTTCTACCCTCGGATTAAGATTCAGAGTCTTTGGAAGACAGTCGGCAACAACCCTAGCAGGCAGAATTATTTACTCATAAGTTTTGTAATGGATACGAAGAATGCAAGTGATTCTAGGCCATGGCGTCCTCTGGGATTTGGTCAACACCTTTCGAGCATTGGAAAGACTTTAGAAGTCGGAACAGAACAACTTTGACCGGGCCTGCTGGTTGTATGTAACTGGTGTTACTGTTGCAGTAGAACAAGCTATGACATCATATCGTCTGTCCATCCCAGAGCGAACTTTACAAGTCATCCATCATTTCAAAATGTCATCATCAATTCATCAAGTATTATCGGTGTTTCAAAAGCTGCTATGCTTTCCTTTGGGCCTTAATTGAATCAGTGTTTCGATATATGTTTTGTGTGATGTGTTCAAATATATGTCAGCAATCGTCTTGTTTGCGTCATAATGTAGATTTTTGGGCTTTGTTCCTCTCAGTCATGATCTTATCAAATGCAAGACAACTGGAGTTATAATCACCCATTTCAATTCTCAAAGCTCTATGTCTTATTTGTTGATAGTGATTTGTTTAGAGACAAACCGTTTTAACTATCTCGAGGGTTGTTGTTATTTTTTTCCTAAGCGCATCTTGAGATCATGTGAGGAGAAAGAGAAACAATATGTTCAAAATTACGTCAGAAGTGTAAGTTGGTAAACTCTTAAACTTAAACCGGCGTTTTCATGAGACAGATTGATGAAAGGACTAAGTATCGCATAGCTTTGATACCGGGGAAAGCCATAAGCTGAGATATAAATTGTAGACGTTCAAGCGCTGTGCTGTTTGCGTTGTTGGGGATTTTTTCCTTTTGTCGCCGGAGAAGATGCCCTTTAATAGATCAGCACCACGTGACTGATACATTTGAAGTCCAGTCCCTGAGGTCTAAAGTTCTAGACTGACCTCGGACACGAAATGAAAAAAAAAATGTATTCTTAACTCTCCAGTGCCCACAACAAGAGATATCGGTATAAACATTATTACCATCTGCGGCACTGGTGTAAAGCAATATAAATTAGTCTAAACTCTCAAGTCGATTTAATAAGGTGACAATATTTGCCCCCCCTCCCCCCAAAAAAATAAAATAAAATAAAATAAGTCCAGACAGTAATAAAAACGTATACAAATCTGTAAGAGATGTTTCAAATACTTCACCCAAGGGGCGTTAGACGGGTTAAACAGAAGGGGAGGCGTTGGAAACTTTCCCTCATGAGCTATGAACACTACAGTAGAAACAAGGAAAAGTAACAAGTACTTATGAATAAGTACCGACTGATGAAAGAGCCTTTTTTTTCAATTCCAAAATATCACCTAAATATTTGTTAGATTGGATCTAGGTTCGTTAAGAAATCTCACAAGCAGAATGTTATGTACCTTCGAGAAGGCCTTTAAACGTCAGTTTTAACAGAAACTTGCTGTGAAACGGGCAGCATTATAAGAAGACAGTTCTATAATTCTTCTTCTTCTCATTCCCGTCTTTTTCTTATCACACTCTCGCTTTCATGTGTGGTTTGTTTTTTTTTTCGCCTCCCCTGTCGTCCTTTGTGGTAGAGAAAAGACGGAAGAAGAAGAAGAAGAAGAAGAAGAAGAAGAAGAAGAAGAAGAAGAAGAAGAGGAGGAGGAGGAGGAGGAAATGCATTGTTCCTATTTTCGACCTTTAAGGGATTTCGGTTTCGTAATTCGATTCAATACATTTTTTATATTTTGCTGTGTATTTCGATATTTTCGGAATTTTCGAGAATTAGTATCCACCATCACTAACTTCCCCTATAGACATACTTTTGTTTCGATACCCGCGGGAATCTAGTAGGGATAAAAGCTTAACAGTTTCGATGTGCATGAGATTTTGATTTTCTTTTAGTTTCGATGACACATCAAATGAGTTGTAAGTCCTGAAGGGCGAAGATCAAAGGCACGTTATTTGATGAGAAGTTAGAAATATAAGAGGTTGCAATACCAGCTTCAACGACATAAAGCAAGAGGAAATAGAGACTATAAGATAGTGTTTCGTTTTCCTTTTAACCACTGGTAGCTTTTGCCGCTTCAAATGTAGGATTTTGTTAGGGTGTTTTGTTACGGTTCTATGTCTGGGTTGTGTGCTTCCTGTTCTCCTTGTTTGATGATGATGATGATGATGATGATGATGATGATGATGATGATGATGATGATGATGATGATGATGATGATGATGATGATGATGATGAATGATGATGACGACGACGACTACGATGATGATGACGATAAATTAAAGTCGTAGGATAGGCAATCTCTTCCTGCTGCAGTGAGATTTTACGTTTTCTTTTTGCAGCGCATTTAATTGTGACAACACTACGGAAAATGACAAAGGTTTGTACTTAGATCTACTGCTCTCATCCCCCCCCAGACTTTGAGAATTGTGAGAGTTCTTGCAAGAAGCGTCGATTGTTTGACGATGATCGTAATATACAGGGTGTCTCTCGCTAGACGCACCATGGGGAAAATACACTAAGCCTACACAATGGCTCCAAAGTGCGCAGATATTGAACTGCTCCACAAATAGTAATGTGTATTTTCCCCATTGTGCGTCTAGCGAGAGACACCCTGTACTCCCATGCTTTCTTCATGACTCGTGCATTGTCATTCAAGTTAGTTCCTTTCTTTTTACTGCTTTAAAATTTTGCTAAGGGGACAGTTCGGTAAGGTTTTCGCTGAGGAGGGGGGGGGGATCTGGTTGTTGTTTCTTGAGTTTTTAGGCCCTTTTTAAGACTGGAAGTAAGGGAGTTAAGCTTTTCAGATTTTATTTGTCTCGGGTTTTTTGTGTTTACTATTTTTGTTTTAAAAATCGTGAATGCTTTATCGGCTGTGACAGATGTGAATGATAAGAAGATGGGTGTCTCTCGTGAATACACTCTTGTAAACAGATCATATTATTTTACTTTTCAGATTGGTCCTTTACTTCAGTCACGTGATCATAATTATATCACGTGCCCGCTGTAACATACTGACATGATACGTTTTTCAATTGTCATGACATGAATCGTTTATTATCTCATTTTTGTTTGTTTTGTTTTGTTTTATTTATTTTTTCTTACCACTATTTTGTTTCGTTGTGTTGCATCCTTTGTGTGTGTTTTGATGCTGTAATCCTTTCACGTGGTGTATACACACACTACACACCACCCTTATGAGATCAGGCTGTCCTTTTCCGTGTCGTGTGTCGTTGTAGTGTGTATAATATGTGTAGAACGTGTGGCATGGTCTTTCAGAGATCATGGGGGTACCGGTAACGAAGATGTACTTTCTTTGCATTTTAGGAAGCGGGTACGTCTTCAAATCAATTGAAGTTGTACATTTTATTATTACTGTTATTATCGTTTTTGAAAAAGGCAGACCTTTTACTTGCTCCCTGAGAACAATCAATCACACCAATCGCTAATAACTTTTTGAAATTAGAAGTGCCCTTTGAATACTTAATTGGAATTTGAAGATTTGCTTATTACCATATACACAATAATTGTAGACAGAAAATGTAAACAGTTCTTAAGTGATGTTAGTACTGTCTTAATTATAAGACAGCAGGTGCTTTGTCGCATGATTATATTAACGAATACATGGTACATTTTTTTAATCAACAAAAGTTTTATCAAGGGCTGGCGCGACAAGCAGCATCAGTCCTAAGGAACTGTCTATGGCAAGGCTTCTTCGATTTAAGGGGAATTGTGTTTATCAGTAAAGTAGTGACACTAAGATAATAGCAAGAAGATCTGACATTTGATAGCAGATATATTGAAATTTGTGAGTGTAAACAGTGGTACCGTAGGGGTTCACAAGGTAGGAAGATGCGATAGTTCCAGATAAGCTATGATGCATAACCGATAAACAGAGAGGGGAGAAAAAGAATAATTCTCTTATTTCTGCAGTCACGAGTTGTTCCCTTTCAAAGAGCATGAAACTAAATATTTCAGTGATAGTGCCCTTCTTCAGTAATCTCGCTAAACGTCTCCCATCTGCCTTTTGCTTTTTTTCTGTTAAATTGTAATTTTTTTAAAGAAAAAAAAGTCGACCCTTCCTTGCGCTGTGCATACGCTTACTTCAAGTGATAATAATAATGAGGAGGAAAACCGATTTTGAAAGGTTTTTCTTTTTCCGTTGAAAGTGTTTAGTAGTTCAGGCACTGACATTTGTTTGAGGCTTCCACTGTATCTTTGGCAAACTTTTCTAGACATAGGCCTAAATAATCTTGCCCTGGTAGTTGTTTTCTTTCTGTAGCCGTATACACTTGCAGTCTCGCCGTAGCAGTACAAAAACAAAACAAAACAAAACAAAAAACGTTGTTATTTTTATTTAATTTTTTGGTAGGCCCTATTCATTTATTTTTCTTTTCTTCTCCCTTTCACCAGTGTTTGGGTAAAATCAGAAAAGAAAAAAAATATTTTCAAAAATGTTATAATGTTTTTGTGTCTCGGGGTCGACTTGTGACTAAATGGAGAAGCTGAAAAAAAAAAATGATTGCGAGTCCTGTTGTGTGGTTTGTTTTTGTCTTGAACTACGTTTGTTTTTGTGGGGATTTTCTCTTATTTTCTGAGCTCATTGGTACAAAATCATCGTCTCTAAAGTCAGCGAAATCTGGAGAAAAAAAAATCAACCCAAAAAAAAATATAATATATAAAAAATCGGGAAGCAAACAACGTATTTTTGTCACGACTACTGTGCAATAAGCCACGGGAGACAACTGCCGAAAAAAAATGGGTGCTCTCATGATTATTTCCCTTTATCATATCCCTTTTGTAAGATGATCACCCTTAATTTGCTTTCATCTATACATGTGTTATGAGTTCCGCATTATCAAAATTATTCTGACACACGCTAGTGCAGCGGTTTAAACTCGTTTGTAGGTTGAAATGACTGTTCTTTATTGAATAATTTATTGATTTTAATGTCATTAAATGTGCTTAATTTATACTTTGTTTTTGTTGATTTCATATCCTCACCATTAACATGCATGATCACTTATGATTTGTGTTGCATAGAAATGGACGCCAAGATATTTAATTGGACGCCAAGATATTGATAGCTGTCTGGAGTCCAGAACTCAACTTGGATGGGCTAGCCATGTCGTAAGAATGTCTGATTTCAGAATCCCAAAGACAGTATTCTTTTCTGAACTGTCCTCAGGGAAGCGTAAGGTTGGGGCACAAAAAAGACACTACAAAGGCACCCTGAAAATGTCTGTGAAGGATTTCAACATTAACCCTTTGACCTGGGAGAGCCTAGCTTCTAACAAACCCAGCTAGAGAGCAGCAATCACAGAGGGCAGCAAGTCATAATATGAGGCTTCACGAATTGACCCTATCCGTACGTCGTGTTTTACTTTCGTATCCTTACGACGTGGGGAACTCTGTACCACCACTTTCCAAAGAGGAAATTTACTCGTTATTCCGATCCGTACGCTTTGTATAGCAGTCTGTCAAAATGATTTTCTGAGAAATACTGAAAGTTTCAAAGAGATCTCCGCATTGCCTCTCACAGCCAGCTGCTTTGAATATCTTCAAAACACTTTCTCCTCCTTTTTACTAAAATATTGATACCAGATTAAGGCAGAGAGCAAAGATGGTACAAAATAAGATGGTTCACTCAGCCAAAAAAATGTCCCCGAAAGTCCGCGAAATGGCTCAGATGGCGCTGCAGTCTTGAAGCTCTGTTTCGTTTTTCCAGAAGAAGAATGGGAATAGCACCCCCTTGCGTGCGCAGATCAACTGCTGTTCATCAGCTGTTCGGGTTCATTCAGTGCGGAATTTTAAGGGTTTTATTTTCATATTTTAATGACCTCTCGCTTCTCATTCTTAAGTCAAATTAAACGAAGAAAATAGTCGCCTCCTCCTCAGGAAGAGGTTTATTGTCAGCGTAACCATTTTAAAAAAAGCGTTCTTCCGAAATTTGAATTCTTATTTATTCAAAAACTTGTTGGTTTCACTTTGATTTTTTTCAAACAAGTAGGGTAACTCTGTTCGCAAAGGGTGCGCATTTGTGAAGAGGGCGCCACCGAATTTTGAGGACACTTTTTTAATTGGCTCAAAGAGAAGTGAACCCTCTTGTTGTATAGACGCATTGACTATTAGGTGGAATCGGTTACTTAATTTCGTCCAAAAACTGGATATACTGTCTTATAAGTTAAAACTCCAGTGTGGATCACCATAAGAGTTCTCTTATATATTGAAATCTTCACCCGTCAGCTCACTGGCGTCTGTGGTGTAACGGTTAGACGCCTTGCCGTGGCATGCAGGAGACCACAGTTCGATTCCCAAGTTGGGAGAATCTCTCTGAAGTACCTTGGTCTTTCTGCTTTACTAGTGTTTCCCTCTCAGCCCTGGTTGGCTCTTGACATGCAGCCTAAATGGTCTAAATTTTGTCGACATAAACAAAAAACCTGTCAGCTCGCTTGACCAAAGGGAGAGAAAATGTGGTCACAATGTGGGGTAGGTTCAGATCCCTTTTCAGCACTCTACACGGACAAGCGACCTGAGAAAGCAGTTAGAGGCTCCCCCAACCCACTCTGTTGTTTCTGTCTGTTTTTCTTGATTTTTTCCAGCACCAAACGACCACTGCCATGTCGAATTCCGTCTGTTTACTCAAACAAACAAGACTTGAGGTCCATCTCCGATAGTGGGAAGTGTCCTGTAGTGTGAGAAATATTCTTTCTCAGAAAACCGTACATTTTTTTATATATTGATACCCTGCTGGGTTTTTTTTTAACGAGTTCATCTGCATTGGAGTACAATGTGGGGCTGAAATGGAAGTAAAAGAGAGGAGGAAAACTGAAAAAATGTCGGGGGGGGGGGGGTGTTAAGGAGAGAGAGAGTGGAGAGTGGGAAAGTGTTAGTGAGGGAGAAGAGAGCTGATAGAGCAGTGGACCTTGCAAAGAAGGATGAGGAATAACCACCTCGTCAAAAACAACACATTGTGCGCCCTGTCAGAAGTTTTAGCTGCAAAGATGTCCCTCTCTAGGTAGAGCAGTGGAGCTTGCAATGAAGGAGGATGAAGGCGACAACGAGAAGAGCAAAGATAATGATGACCATTTAACTAAAATAGCCCGCCACTGGTAGATTTAAGAACGACACACATCAGCGTTTGAGCGTCATCACAACAGCCACGACACAATTAAAGACACCCTTGTCATGTCAAATCAGGTGTAATTTCAAAATAAAACAAGAACCGGCATTTATGGTGTTGCAGCAAAGACCATGAATAACAAAACAGTTCACTCCTCTCTTTGAGCCAATTAAAAAAGTGTCCTCAAAATTCGGTGGCGCCCTCTTCGAAAAAGTGCGGACTTTGCGATAAGAGTTACCCTACTTGTGTGAAAAACAGTAAAAGAGAAACTAACAGACTGTGTTATTCCTATTCTTCTTCTGGAGAAACGAAGGAGAGCTTCAAAACAAAGACTGCAGCAGGCAGGCAGGATCGAAGTCCGCCTCTTTAATGATCTGTGTGTGTCGATGGGAGTGTAAAAACACCTAGATCTACATTGAAAACAGATTAAACAATGAATTTGTTTAAGGTGGAAAATAAAGACCTTGCTCAAAAACAACACAAAATTATGTGCCCTTTTAGAAGTTTTATTTGCAGAGGAGATGTCCCTCTCCCTTATATCTCCTTCTCCCAGTCCTTCTCCCATTTCGTCTGCTTGTCCATGTTCCACCTTGACGACATCTCATGTTTCTTTTACCCTTCCTCCTCCTCCCCTTCCTCCTCCTCCTCCTCCTCCTCCTCCTCCTCCTCCTCCTCCTCCTCCTCCTCCTCCTCATCATCATCATCATCATCATCATCATCATCACCATCATCATTGTAAGTAGCAGGGAATAAAAAAAGGGTTGAGACTGGTACTGGTAGAATTTTCAAAGTTTATACAGGTTCAACGTTTCCCCCTGTAAAGGGCTTCATCGGGAACATGATACAAAAAAAAATAATGTAAGATCTAATGGGCTACAAGCTATAGCTTGTCTATATATCATCATCATCATCATCATCATCATCATCATCATCATCATCATCATCATCATCAAGTTTCTCATTTTGCCTTTGCCTCTTTGTCCCCTCTCCACACCTCTTCCATCATTTTGTCATGCCTTCATTTAGGCCGAAGGGCTAGAGCTAGAATTCAGACGCCGCTGAATCGGAAAAGGGAAGTAAAAAGTCACGCCTTCATAGACTGACCAACAAGTTCCATTCATATTGAAAGAAAGTCCTGGCGGTCACCGACTGTGTCACTTGCATCAGATTTATCAAATGTGTCAAATGGGCAGGTGCACCGCGTATAAAGAGTTAACGGGGGTTCTCGTGGTCGAGAGGTAAAGGTGTTCAATCGTTCAATATGTCCCGGGTTCGAATCCGGATAGCGACGGATATTTTTCTCCTCTATTTTTTTTCCCTTTACATCTTTTCCTGCTCTCAACAATGTTCTGTCGTCTGCTTTCGTCTCCGCTTTCTGCCCCGACCCCCTCGCCTCCGTCCACTCACCCCTTTGCTCCCTCCTCTGGGCCCCTGACTCTTTCTGCAGCTCCAACTGTTGTCTGTCAGCCACACCCCTGATCCTATGGTAGGTAAGATCTAACACCTAGCCTTCTCGGATAATGACGAAAAATCTCAGAGGTCCTGTGTGCAAGATGCGCACGTTAAAGATCCCTTGGCCGTCCAAAATCGATAAGAGTAGGCTTCGGCCGCCACCCGGGCAAAATTTGGAATTTTTTCTTTCTTTTTTTTTTCTTTTTCTTTCCCGTGGTTGGGGCAACCGTGGGGGCACCACTGCATCTGACAGCCAGCTCTCGCCTTTTCTCTCTGCCATCTGCTTTCTTCAGATTGTCACCCATCGTCTCCCCTGTCCACTCTGTGATGTTATCCTCCCTTCTCCTTCTCTGCCTTCCTCTCTTTCTCTCTCCTTGTACGGTTCCTTGTAGGGTTGTTTTGGCAAGTCCTGTGGATCTTGTGAATTTTCTACCAACTGTTTTAAAGTGTCCCGCGCGCTCATATGACCTTATGCAGTTGCGAGCTCCGTAAAATACTTACCAAAAAAAAGAAGAAAAAAAATTATCCGTGGTCGCTGTTCCATTAGTCACGCCCCAATCTGTCTAACGAGAGCCGGCCCTCGGGTGACAGTTACACAAAGGTAAACATTGTGTGCTCAGTGAGGTGGCAAATCCTCCCACTCCCAACACCGGCACCGTCGAGGCACAGTATCTATCCGGAGACGTCTCCGACGGAGATAGACCAATCAAAATGCTTTGTGCCTCTAGACCAAGTAAATAAAATCTGGGGGGTTACAAGGGAGCATGCTCCCCCCTTCCAGTTTTAACCCATAATTTGATATTTTGCAGTTACGTTTGAATTGAAATTTTCTTGAAAATACTTAATTTGCGACAGTATTAGTGGCTATATGATGCGTGATCTGCAGCAAACAATATGCAGTTTGACACCCCCCCCCCCCAAAGCAGTGCATCTGAGTGAGGGAGTGCGTCTCCGAATAGTTCCAAGGTGCTCGCCGGAGACGTCTCCGAATATCGTCTGTCCCGTCGAGGAGGGGATACAGCTCTTCGCTGTCCGACAACAAAGACTGCGGTGAGAAAGACAAACTTTGTGATTGCTAATTTATTCAAGTATGACAGACAGCGAGAGACAATGTACCTGTGTGACAGACACTTGAGCAGGGTTTGAAGAACATACTTGGTCTGACCTCACCTCTGTCAAACAGTGATTAGTAGAGCCAACTCCTACGGGCAAATTGGGTTCGAAAATGAAATTGTGTCCGCTAGTTTAACGCCCTTTGCAACACTGTGAGGAGTGTTATTTCAGAGACAGACTTCCAAATTCAACGTTTATCTCTTTTTCGTTTGTTTGTTTGTTTGTTTGATTTGTTAAAGTAAAGAGAAGCACATCAACACAATAAACGTCATTTAGCGCTGGGGAAAAGTAAGACAGACAGAACAACAGAGGGAAAGGTAACAAGTAGGACCTACCAGTGGCGCCCTCCAACCACCCGAGTTCACCTCCGAGAGGACCGAGCCAGACAGGAAAAGTCTTGTAAAGTGTCTTTCTAAAGGACACAGCGGAGGCTCTCGTAGCCTAGAGGTTAAGGTGTTGGCCTCTCGTTCAAAGATCCCGGGTTCGAATCCGGGTAGGGACCGAAAAAAATTCTTCTCTAAAATTGTCTCCTTTCACCTCCTCTTGCAATGTTCTGTCGTTTGCTTTCGTCTCCTCTTTCTGCCCCCACCCCTTCACCTCCTTTGCCCCCTCCTTTGGGCTCCTGACTCTTTCTGCAGCATTTCTACTGCTACTCCTTGACTCCTTCTTACTGTTGTCTTTCAGCCACACCCCTTGTCTTCTGGTAGGAAATATCTACACCTAGCCTTCTCGGACAACGGCGAAAAATCTCCCAGGGCCCGTGTGTAACTAGTGTAAGTTGCGCACATTAATTTTTTAAAAGATATCTTGGTGGTCTAAAATTGATCCGATAAGAGTACGCTTCGGCCACCACCCAGGCAAAATTCAAAATTCCCTGCCAACTGAAAAAGTTTTATAATGTGTCCCGCGCGCTCATATGACTTTATGCAATTGCAAGCGCCGTAAAACACATGCCCCCAAAAAAAAAATAATAACACAACATCATAGAAACCCTAATTCACTAATTGAGACTCGAACCCTCCAACCCGCAATCTCACGTTTACGCGAGCCCGGTGCCCTAACTACTGGACTGCCAAGGTCACCAACCCGGGTTCACAATACTGTACTAGTGTCTTTAGACAAACGTTTATTGCCGTTGTTGTTGCTATGTATTGTCGGTGTTTTTGTTTGTGTTTTGAATTGTTTTTTCGAAAGGGGGGGGGGGTGCGAGAGTGAACGAGAGAGAGAGGGGGATAGATAGATAGATAGATAGATAGATAGATAGATAGATAGATAGATAGATAGATAGATAGATAGATAGATAGATAGATAGATAGATAGATAGATAGATAGATAGATAGATAGATAGAGAGAGAGAGAGAGAGAGAGGGGGGGGGCGGTGGTGTATAACTAAAGATGGCATGTTCCAAGAAATGTTTATGTGTGTGTGGCAGGAAAGGGGATGGGGTGGGGTGGCAAAGAAGTAAGAGAGAGAGAGAGAGAGAGAGAGAGAGAGAGAGAGAGAGAGAGAGAGAGAGAGAGAGAGAGGGGGGGGGGGTGAAAACTCTCCCCAGAGTGGCACTGAAGGAACAAGGTCATCAGTTGTAGGTCGAGTTTTTGACATAACTCACAGTGTATTTATAATGGGAGCTAAAAGCAAAACAATTATAACCAACAAACCTACAAAATAAAGAAAAACGACAGACAAAGTGTTCCAGAACATACCACAGATCCATGCATTACAATAGTGTACACCCATGCTGATAAATTATATATTATTATAACAGGATGCACTAGAATTGTTTCCTCTTTGGAGTTGTCTAACCTTCAATCAATGTCCTCTTTCAATACTTTCATGGAGCTCAAAATATTATTCCCCGCTGTCACATGGGTCACAGAGACAGAAACAAGAACAATAATAACTGTACATGTATGTGTCACGACGCGGTGGAATCAGCTCTCGTCAGTTTTTGGATATTTAGAGTTATTAGTATCACCTTAAAACTTGTTAATTTTATGTCTTGCTTTTGGCGAGAAAAAAAAACCCATGCATCTTGATTAAAAATCAAGATAATATTTGCAATGGAAGGGTATGGGGGTCGTCTCGTGTCAGAGGTAAAATTAATGAGAAAATGGCCGCCAAAGTTTGGCGACTTCCAAAGCCTGAGAGTCTTTGGAAAATGCACTTTTACATTTTTTGTGCCCTTTATCAATCTTTTTCAGTAAAATCCACAGAGATATGTGTTCCTAAATGGACATAGAAAGTATTGAGTGAAAAAAACCACGAAAACCTGAAAAAGATTTCCCAGCGGTCAGAAAAATGTCGGTTTCCTTGGTTACATTATTTTGACCAGCACCTGATTTCGCCACGCTGCCTCACATATTATATTTGTGCACTCGTTCTTTTTTCGCACTGAGATCTGGAAAGGAGGGCGGGGGTGAATAACTAAAGATGGCATGTTCCCAGAAGTGTTTATGCGTGTGTGCCAGGAAAAGAGGGGGGGGGGGGGGGGGCAAAGCAGTAAAATCTAGAGAAAAAAAGTTATGACATTGTTTTGAGATGTACAGTTCCTGAGATGAAATCTTGGAATAATGTGGTCACGATGTTAGATTCTTTCATGACTAAAGAATGATAATAAACTTGCTGTCTACATGATTTAATGTATCGACTAGATCTATGTTTGAGAGATATTCTTTAGGAATCAGCAGTGAATTTATCTAGAATACTTTACCACATACAAATATACTATCTATCGGGGAGAAAAAAAAACCCTCAGTGTCATATGAATCGAGACAGTTTTGCGTATTGTTTAATCTAATATTTAGGGCTTTGGAAAAAAGGGGGAAAGGGGGTGGGGAGGTCACATTCTAGTTATTCGAAACTGCATTGATATTCCGATGAAGAAGTTTTGGGAAATTCCCCAGCTTGGAATCACTGGTGAGTTGCTCTTCCTTGACCGTGCTCAGGCTGTACACAGTTCCCGCCCCCGCCCGCCCCCTCTCCCGACGCCAGAGACTGAAGGGCATGGCCCCTTCCTTGACCACCCGGGAGTCTCTACCTGTGTACTGTACCGCAGATGAGTTGCCTTTGAGCGGGTCTAGGTACTTTGGCTTTCGAGACATCGCAACGGGTCTACCTTTGAATGAGTTTTCACGCCCGCACGGAATGTAGATAGCCCCTGCAGGAGCTGGTGACACGGACAAGGGAGGGGCGTCTTCCAACTGAGAGGTCTCCAAAGAAGGAGAAGGCGGAGGGGGAGGAGCCAAGTCTATACTCCCGTCCGGTGATTGGCTGTGGAGTTGGATGTACGTGTCTGATAAGGAGAGCCGATGTCTTGGAAGGGGGACGTAACTTTGACTGGGGTCTTCTCGAGCGGTGTAGAACTCGGTCGTACGAGGGGGAGGGCCAAACGTCCTCTGCTTCGCGGAAGGGTGAGCTTTGCGGTACTTGGCGACATACGATCTGTGCATTCTGCGCAGGCGCCGTAGGTACGTCTGGTATACATAGAAACCTTCCATGTTTTTGGTCACCCTCGCCTCCCGCGTGGCCTGTCCCTGTTCTCTGCTCTGACTGGCTAGTTCTGAGTTGGTGGCGGTGAGGAGAGCGCCAAGGTGAATTCTGGGAAGCATGACTGAACCTTGACCACAACAACAACAACTCTGCGGCTATGAACACGCTCCTACACAGCTCCTGGGTGATAAATGAACCTCCAAGTCACACAATAAGAGTTCTTAATTCAAGAATTATAGACACTCCAAACGTCAGAACGGAGAGATGTAAAGATAGTTTTCTTTCCCTGTGACGCCAAGGCGTCCACTGACTGAAACGCCATGGGTAGTTAATGTCCTCTTAGTTCGAATGTCATGTTGCAATGAAGCTCTACTTGCGAAAAATCACTTGAAAATCCATTCTTTTAAAACATTCCTGGCTGTTTTCCAACGTCAAAATCACACAGGTTCAAAGGGTCAGATCTGAAGAAGAGAAGAAAGTTTAAATCATTGGCGAGCCGTCCAAAACACGTCAATTATGCAAATTTCCACAGGACTTAAAAAAGAGAGGCAAGAGTAGGACATTCACCTTTAAAACGTTCATAGAAAGAAAATAGAGAGGACTCTCGCATGCACACGAAAACACACACACACACACACACACACACACACACACACACACAAACACACACACACACTCACACTCAGACACACACACACACACTCACACACAGACACACACACAACTATACACAAAGGGGGAAGAGGAAAGAGCGGGGGGGGGGGGGGGGCGTGAGGAAAACCCTGACTGTTGGTCCGTTGTCTGAATAAGAATAGAGAATTAGTTCTGCCATACGTCTGCTGGCAACAATTTAAATGTCTTCTCTTGGTAAACTCATGACATACAAATACATTGTACAGATAGCGGATGGTTGGTTTGGGGGAGCTACGGTTGGCCTAGATCTTACTCCTTTTCTTTCCTCCCTTTTTTGTCGTCTATCTTGCTTTTTTCTCCTGCACTAAATAGCCGTTTCAGTGTTGACAATCTTGCTTCTCTTTTGTGTCCGTCTGTCTTACTTTTCTCTGCACTAAATAGCCGTTATTCTGTTACTGTTTTCGCTTCTCTCAACACGTACTAAACCCAGACATACGAAGTCTCCCCCTCCAGTAACTGAGGTCTCCGGTAATTTGACACTTGTAGCACACAAAAACGATTGCACAGTCATTCCGCACAGTACAGCGCCGCTCTCCGACACAAGCCCCGTCGTTTGCTATCACCGACAGTTAGAGCTCTACATTAACACCGCGTCAATGGGTCAATCGTCGTTTGCTGTTGCCCTCATGTTTCTGCTTTGATTTTCCTGAATAGACGCGGTCTAAGTTTCCCGCGGGCTTCCCCGACGAGAAGCCCCTTTCGTTCAAATCGCCCCCTCCGTCATAGTTTGGCTTCGTGTTTCTGTTTTTTAATTGTGCGTTCGTGGCTTGAGCTTGACATTCCACGAGATCGTTTCAGTAGCGAGAAGTTGTACAGTAGACCTAAAAACCTTTACAGCTGTACTACATTTGTATTGGTTCATTCCCCAAAGACATCTATTTTTAAAATGCTACTCAAAACACGTTTGGTTCTTACTTTCAAAGTATGTCTATGGTCCCTCTCGAGTCTTTTACTTAGGTTCTGTGTTTATTTATTCGTCCGTGCATATTTTATACTACACTATTAGTCGCAGGTGGTTGGAAGGCTTCACTGATAGATTACGTTCCACTTCTTTTCTTTCTCGCTCCTACCGTTATTTGACGATCTGTCTATTTGTGGGCTGGGTGGTATTGTGGTTAGGCTGATAGGATCGCAACCGAGAGGTCGTGGGTTGGGTTTGAACCCCATGAGGGACCCTACGTTGTGTCCCTAGGAAAAGCATTTTACACGAATTTTCCTCTCTTCACCCAAGTGGTAAAGAGCTTGTCGGTTTGTAAGTGTTTAAGTGCTTGAGTGGCTGCTTGTACTGTGTGCTTTCCGAGAAGCCGAGAACGTCTTTGAGTGTTTTAGGGCCTGTTGGGGTAATAACATAAATTGTTAAGCACAAAGAGCTTGCTGTTAGGCGGGGATATATTATATATAT